AAAATTAATTCTTAATATAATAATCATCCATTAAATAAATCAACAAATAATTACTAATAATTTAAATTAAATTAAAACGTTAAAATATTACCGTATCAACAAAGTGTCGAGATATATGATTTCTATCCAAGCGAAGTAGACTGTCTTCCATTTTATATCTGAAAAAAATTAATTAAATTAAATATTAAATAAATTAAATACTTAAATAAATTAAATACAAAATATTAAAAATATAATAAAATATACCTTAGACATAGATTATAAGAGTATTTGAGAGAAGTTAAGAGAAGTTGAGAGAATTTGGTGTGATGAAAATGATTGAGGATGGGAGTATTTATAGAGAGGGATTGAGGTGTGAAACGTCGGGGTAAGTGGGTAATTATACCCAATGCGCACCGCAGGGGGAGCGCCTTACTGACGCGTGGTAGATTCTAGGGTAAGGAGCGGCCCCTGCACCGCGCTATACCCCTGTACACATGTGTATATCATGTCAGCATAAGGCGCGCTACAGGGGGCGTGCCTCACCCCACGTGACACCAAATTAGCGTAAAGCGCGTTGCAGGGACTGCACCTTTCTACAAAGGATGTTAAATCAGAACATATAGTCTGAACGGTGTCTGATCGAAAAATATACTGTTCAACAGTGATATATCAGAAAAATCACCCTAAATTTGACATATATTATTTTTTTTAATAATTATTTGACATAAATGAAAACTACGAGAAGGGAACGTACTGTTGCGAGTGAAGGCCAGAAGGATCCATTTTTTGCGCTGTAAATTTAAAAGGCAAAATATATAGGGTAAGGTACCCAAATCACACTTCTATTATAAAATATTATTTTATTAAAACTATCTACTAATAAAAGTTATAAAATAATTATTTAATTATAGATGGTTACTTTATTAAGGCTCTGTCTATTAAAAAATATAAAACAATTATTTGACTATTCATTATGTTTCAAACTCGTCATTTTTCATTAAAAATTAACATTTATCTAATTTATACGTTAACTTGATGACTGTGATATGATATGATAGTCATTCAAGATTCTAGGATCAAATTTTATCATATCACAGTCTATAAATTAACATTCAGCTCAAAATACCATCAATTTTTAATTGAAAATGGTGAGTTTTGGAACATAATTAACATATATTAATTATTTTTTTCTTTTTTTATTTAACAATTCGTATTAATAATATTTTTGGACTATTTCAAATTACAGTGTATTAAAAATCATCATTAACACTTATCATATTGTTATGAACAATAAATATTTTAACCATACTCTCTTGGGCAAGTGATATGCTCTTTAAAATCGGGTCTGTTTTCTTTTTTTATAATTGGTGTGGCTTCAGTGCCGATTGTATTGTCTGGTTGCGAAAACGAGGCGTTGCTTTTTTGCACTTAATTACGACCGCTCTTTTCTTCTATTTAGGTATAGGGCGGGTTTTAACGAGGTTCTTAAATTAAGTTTTAATTAATTGTTGTGCCAAAAAAATGAAGAAGAAAAAAAATCACAATGGACAGATGACTACACCTTGAATGGGGATGGTTTTTATGTATATGCATAGACCACCGCTGCAAGTGAAGCTTCAAGCATCTCTTTCTCCAAAATGAAGACTGACACTGAGCCATAAAGACGTTCGTTCCAACTTCAGATTAACATTAACTACTCAAAGAAAGCTTGGATTGTGTTTCCTTTGTGAGTTATGTCCAGGAATAGTTTCTCCCCCATCTTGATATATGGTTTAGTTTAAATATATAGATTTAATTCAGATTTGTTTTGATGAATTAGTTCAGATTTTCCCGTGTAAAAATATAAGTTAAGAATTGAACGAGTCTAATCATTAAGGATACAGAACCGAAGCACATAAACTCCTAATAATTGTAGTAAATTTTTTCTAAATGATTGATATGTACGTTAGCAAATAATTGTTAGCATATAGATGGCTAATTTGCCAGCAATATTAAAGTGCAAAAAGTAATAGAATTATGAAGTTCAAATGTTAAAGTGTAATTGGAAATTTTCAACTTCAATTACTGTGCCATCTTTTTCAAATCTATGGAAGTTTTAGTAATGATAATTTGTTTTGAATTTAAATTTAGTTGTGTTCTTTTGGTACCACTATTTCTTCATCTCATGCATTATAACTCAAAAACATTGCCCATGATTTTTCATTAACAAGGAAAAGCTTTTTCGTTTATTTTCATATTTTCCCCCATTATTTAAGCTCGTTTACATAAACTAATTGAAAAATGAGAGTGTCAGTGTTCTTAAAAATCTTAAACTCAACATTTATATTTATAAAATGTATGTACGTTTGACATAATTTGATCAATGTTTGGGTGTTTGTAGAGTAAATGGACCTGAACTTGACCACACGTGTATGGAAAAGTGTGCGAGCCAGCTGCTAAAACTACGCATTTGGCGACCGAAATGTATGCCAGTCTCCGGACAGAAGACATTGAACATTTGAACTTACCTTTGGGTTTTGGACTCATTAATCCATTCGAATTACGATACTTCCAAATACCATTTTGGATCATCCCTTTTTTTTAATTAAAAATATTAAATTCTAAATTGATTGGTGCACCTCAATCTCAAGCTGTTACTTGTACTGTTCTTCATAATCTGTCATCATCCCTACGTCACAAATCAGTAATTCACCCCCTTTCTCTGCATGTCATCCTCGTAAATTGGGTCTTCTCTCAGTCTCGCAAGGCTTCCATTTATACTTTCACCTACATGTTTCATGTACTAATATAACTATGAAATCTTGTGCATGTATCTAATTAATAAGATAAAACAATAATAAAGCAATGTGTACCTAACTTAAGTGGATGCTAATGGTGGCCCTAATCTCTTGAAGATGAAGAAAATCTATCGTCCTGGATATTTCTTTTCTAATTAATGCTTAACATCGAGTCAAGAAGACGTATACCATTTCTTAAATTCAAGAATGAATGACAATTTTTTTTTATTGTTTTGGAAGCATTAATTAAGAGAGAGTGATTGATCCTCCATCAACCAAGAAGGTAATAGTAACCTTATTTTTTAAAATAAGAACAAAGGCATCTTTATTTAAAAAATTAAGATTTTATAACACCATAAACTAAAAAACAACATGTTACATGTCATTTAATGCAAATATGGAAAAAGAAAATCGTACATGGCCCATGAAAAAGAAGGGTAGCTGTAAGCTTTGAATTATTATTGTTTTGCAGCTGGAAGCACAATGGTAGATCAAGTGTTTGGAAAACATTTACTGTGTTTTCAGTCAAAAGTGTTACCCAAAAGGGTTGCAGTCTTCAATTATCATGATAAATGAAGTTCTTGAGACAAGAGATATTAATAAATAATGGCAAGGATTATCCTCACCGATTAAGTGATTAATTCTAAACCTCTCAAACTAAGTGTGACTATACCCTAACTGGTGGTCAGTGTCAAGGGGAAAACTTTAAAGTCATGTATAGGTTTTTGGACCCTATATTTCTGTACATTCGAAATGAGGAAAAACTTTTCCATTTCACATTAAAAAACACAGCAAAATGATTTATTAGTCGTTAATGTGATCTCTTACTATTGCTTAACTTAAACCATTGTAGTTACAATTTTATATCTTATTATATGTCAAATCATTTAATAACATCAATCATATATTAAATTGAACAACATAATTAAATCCGTCTCGTATGAAACACAAACTCTACTATGGAGAATACAATACAGGAACCCAGTAATTTTAGAACCAAACATATGAAAATGGCATCAATGATTTCTATAGAAATGGGGCCTTGCAGCTGGTTTGGATTTAATCTGATTCGGGAACCTCTCACCCTTGAGACCAATCAGTTAGGCCTCATTAAGCTCATATATTATCACAGTCCAAATTATATTTGAGCCACCAATAGGTGGGATCTAAGCCCACTCCTCATACATTAACACTTCCTCCAAATTATTTTGTTTTTAAAACTCTAAAATTATTATTAGGGTAAAGTACACAAATGGTCCCCCGACTATAGGGTATTACTTTTTAAATCCCTCGACTATTAAAAATTACAAAATTATCTTTCGACTACAGAGTGTTACTTTGTTGATTTCCTCGACTATTAAAAGTTACAAAATGGTCACCCGACTATTCATTATATTCCAAACTCGTTACTTTCTGTTAAAAAATTGATGGTATTTTGAGTTAAAAGTTAACATATTGACCATGATATAATAAAATATGATTATAGAATCTCAAACGAATATCATATATAAGTTATCATGTTAACGTTTAGCTTAGACAATCATCAATTTTTGATAGAAAAATATGAGTTTAGAACATAACGATAAGTCGGATGACCATTTTATAACTTTTAATAGTCAATGGAATTAATAAAGCAATATACTATAGTTAGATTTACTCTTATTATAAAAGGGTATACGAATTTTGAACTTTGAATAAAAGCCGAAGAGCGAATACCAAAATTGAAAATATACCATCTCTTTTCCAGTAAGTCCCCACTCAAGTTCAAGGTAGAAGAAAAACGTAGTAAGAGTCAAAAGTAAAAGGCTCTCCAATTTGCCGAAGGATCTTGATGAGAAAGCGTATGCATTGTATATATTTTTAGTTGCACATAAACTAATAATGTATACGTGTCTCGTATTATTTCCTTGTTTTTGGAGCCAGAGATAAAAAAAAATAAACGTTATGGATGGATTGACTATTAATTTAGCATTTGTCGAGCTGTTCCATACGCTGAAAGACAACAACCCATTCGACCCCCGAGAATCGTCAAATAAAACAATTCAGGTGACCAACTAGATTAGATCCAAAACCAGATACATGAGCAAGACGATTAAAACGACGACCACTCTCATCTTGTCAGTTTAAAATAATAGCAAATTAGTTTGCCAGCGTCACAAATGGCCGAACCCATGGATCTACATCTTGAAACTGAGTTCATAATTTGAAAGAACCGTGGTTTGGATAATATGATAAAAAAAATCAGTACAAAATGAAATCCATAATATATGAGTAGGGGAAACCAGAACCAGAACAGTGCATTAAGACCAAACAGGATAAGGAAGAGCAGAAGATGGGTATCCATTAACGCATACACTTATTTTCGGATAAAAGCAACAACAAGAAGAAAAAGAATGATTATCAGAACCAGCTGGAGCTTGAAGATGGCTCGGTCTCCTTAACGATGGTGACAGGGCAAGGAGCATATGTCAAAACGTAGGTGCTCACACTCCCCAATATGATCCTGTATTTTCATCAAAACACCAAAAACACCAGTCACGACATTAAAGCTAAGCACATTGATCCTACGTCAAAGAATGATATATCCTACAACGTACCTTTGAAGGGTTCCAAGACCTCTGCTGCCCATAACCAAAGAATCAAGCTTTAGTTCATCAATGGCATCAAGTAATTTCTCCCTAGCATCTCCTCCCCAATACAGTTTGATCACAACTTGTATCTTTAATCCAAAAATACAAATATCAGCCTCAACTCCCAAGTTTTCGTTATATGTTAAAAAAAAAAGTTTGACCGTTCACCTCTTTTTGCCTGGTAACAGTGTCGAGCATGTCGAGGACTGGAATATTAATTTTCACGCCGTACTTCTTCATCACCTCCGGCTGTCTGAACTGTGACAGAGGAATGAGAGCTGCGACGTCCGGAAACAACACAAGATTAGATCCTATATATATATACAAAAATGAAAGAAAAAGCGAATGTTTTTGAGGTTTTAAGGAACATACGAGAACCGGACTTGGCCAAGTGAGACAGAGAGTCACCAGCAGAGTCGGGGTTGTTGTGGATGATGTAAAAGGTGTCCCCTTTGTCGGCCAAGTTATCAAGAGCCCATTTGAGAGCGTTCTGGCTGCTCATCGAGAAGTCCATAGCCACTCCAACCTTCCTATCGGCCGGCATTTTGTTCGATCTTCACTTTTCTCTGATTATGCCAAAAGTTCTATCTAATGCACAAAAGATGGTTTCAAGCATGAAGAGATTGTCACAAGGGTATGGTTATTTATATGGAAAAACCTAAAGGAAATGTCAAATTCTACAGAAGGTTCCTGTACTATGAACTATTAGTTGATTCACTCGTTCTACTATAATTTAATTACTTTTACTTAAGGTTGAGCAAAGAAAATGAATAAACCAAAAACTCAGTCAAATTGTAGTATTTAAACTATTTGCGATTCGTAAGTTTAAAGATTTTGATTACCCAAATAGAGTCCAATTTTTTTATGTATATTCAATTTATAATTAAATTGTATTTTCATACTGTAAAAAGAAATAATTTATATTTCAAATAGTTCGAATAATTTTACAAACTATATAAGAATTATTTATTAAATTATTTTATCTATTCAAAAAGTTATTTTTAAAAAATATTTATGAAAAATACTTTGAAATTTTATTAAACAATGTCAAAAGAGACATATTTCAAGGACCTTTTGTAGTATTTGACCAAAAGAAGAGGTGAAACCGAGTAACGTTTTGGAAGTTTGAAAGGCAAGGAGAAAGGATTAATCGGCACCGTTCATTTGTTAATCAGAAAGTACGATGGAAGGAGAGCTTGTTTAGACTTGTCCAATTGGGTGGACTGGAGATATTCGTGTCCAAATATATATTTTACAAACTTCCAATCGCTGGCCATGTGATTAAGATATGAATCCGATTTTATATCAATTTTGTACATCGAAATAATATATATATATATAAGTTTACACATGCGTTTTATGTTTATGTTGATTTTTTATTCTAAAACAATTTAATGTTGTTATCCATTATATATTATCCTCTTTGTTAATTATTGTCAAAGTTTTACTCGGTTAAATCCGATAAGAAAAGCCCCATGTAAATACAAATAATGTTTGACTATAAGAATAATTGCATATGGGATTTTTGGATGAGTGATTTTGAGTAGAAGTTTTATTTTAATTATTTTTTATAAAAATTGAAATAATATTTAGATAGATCAATTTTTTTATTTAAATTATATAGAAAGATATGATTTTTAAAAAAAACTCATAATATTATTTCATATAATATAATATAATCCACTATAAAATAAAAATTGCAACTTTTGAATATTAATTTCTTTCATCTAAATACACTCAAAAAGAGATATTTTTGGGATACTATTGTGGCGTCTTTGAAACAGCGTAATAATTTTGTGTTTAATGGACAGGTTTAGTCAACTATAGAAATTACATGATCATGGACATGCTCTATTAAAGTCGATTAAAGCACAAACCATTCGACTGTGATCGTGCAAAGCAGGAGACATAGATGGCAACCTCCAAGAACCGAAACGGTTAAACTGAATACTGACGGGGCCGTCGACACACGAACCGGGAATGCTAAAGGCGGTGGAGTGCTCAGAGATAACGATGGACAATGGCTAGGTGGCTTCAATCGGAACATAGGGCGCTGCTCAGCTTTTCATGCAGAGTTATGGGCATTGTTTGATGGCCTCACTTTGGGTTGGGAGCGTGGTTTAAGGGACATCGAGGTGCAACTTCATAACAAAGAAGATGTGGAAATTCTACAAGGATATCCACACATGTATGAGATCCCGGCCATCAAAAGAATCCGCAAGCTCCTCAACAATCAGTGGAATATTAGGCTATCCTTTGTTTGAAGAGAAGCGAACGGTGTTGCAAATGCTCTAGCACGCATAGATTGGAATGACAGCTTGGTTGGAATTGAGGATATTAAAAGATCCACCGAATGAGATCCAGAGCATACTGTCATATGATAGAACAGGAGTTTTCTAAGTCTATTCACTGCTGATGCAGTTTTATTTGTAACCAAAAAAAAAGAGATTAATCAAAATTTTAATCAACAATCTCATAAACGTTGACGGTTTTTGTTCAATGTTCTGTAATGAAATGTTTGGAATATGATTTTACAATCGACATATATAATAAATAATAATGTTAAAATTTAACTCTGCTAATGATCTAAATTCATAAAAATGAATAAAATATTCAGAAACATCTAAATATGCAATCAGTATTCATCTATGTTGTAGAAGATACAGGTAGCCCTGGGAGTGAGGGAACCTGCTCAGGCCTACTTGACCTTGTATATATTGAGTTTCAGGCTTCAATGAACCAGATTTGGGCCTACTTAACTAAATACAGACGAGGCCTCATTACCCTTTAGAAAGAGATGTCTTGTCAAATCGTAGGCCTAATAAAAACCGAACGCTATTAGTTCTCTTTAGTTTCACATAAAAATATGGTTCGTTAAAACTGACATTTGCTTTTATTTCCTCTAGGAATCTCAAAATAATCTAAAAAAACAATTAAAAAAAATCATGTGATATATATATATATATATATATATAGTAAAAATGTATGATTTCATTCAAGGAAAATCATACATAAGATATATTAGTTCGAGTCTGGTTAAAAACATCTCTATAACTAGATGCTCTCAAAGAGTACCTAAACTAATATAAGAAGAACGTAATTAACCGTAAATAATATCATCGTGAAGTAATAGATAAATCTACACAGGCGACACAACATAATAAATAATCTCCATATTATCCAGTCTCGTGCTTTTAGCCAACGCATCATCCATTTTGTTTCGACGATTGTGTTGGATGAGCAAATTCCAATCTCGACGGCGAAGATCATCTAAGTGCCACTTAAGAAAGTGACTTCCACTGAAATAATCTTTTAAAACCCAAATCGCCTCTACACTATCCAGTTCAAGAACAACCTGTCGGAACCCAATTTTCTAAGCATAAAGCAGTCCCAGGTAGCCCCCCAAGTTCGACATCCAGAGTCGAACAAATACCAATAAACCTCGTAAAATCAAACTTCCATGCACCAAGCCTGTCCCGAGCAACGCCACCATACTTGGCGAAACCAGTCTCTTCCTATCTCGCTCCATCGGAATTGATTTTAATCCACTGGGGAAGCGGTGGATACCATCGGACAGTAGCTCTGTTTATCACTCCATTACCGGTATTGTTCACCCGATTTTCTGCTAAAGCTCGGATAGAGAGCTCCACCAGCCTTTTGCTGCGATCAACCACCGAACCATGACCATTGATTACTGGATTATTAAATATTTGACCGTTACGTGCAAGCCATAAATTCCACACAACATATTCAAAGACGAGATCCCACTGCATATTATTGTAAGCGCAGTCGACCCAGACAAATTTTTACATAACCAATCATACAACTCTATATCTAAAAAGGAAACCAACTCTGAAGGCGGCACCAGAAAATTCCAAGCTTGCACCACCGAAGGACATCGCTCCTCGTTAATCATCAGTTTTCGACAACACAAAAGCCAAAGGAACGCTCAACTTTTTGGTAAACCCCGAAACTTATGAATAATGGACCATACCGTACTTGGAGTAACAGTCGGAGAACCACCCCGTAACGTATAATCTGAATTTAACGTAAATAAACGATTAATCATTGAATTCAAATGTTTAAATATAAAAATAAAGAATAAATTTTAATAAATAAAAACAAAAAGCTACATTTCTAATATAAAAAAACTTAAAAACACATTTTAACCTGTTAACAAAGAGTAGTTTTATTAATTCAGGTCATAACCCAGTCTTCTTCAACTAATATTTGCCACTAGCGTTTTGGGAATACTTACCAAAAAGGAAAAAATGACGTGAATCAACAATGGATTTGACAGCAATATACCTTTTGAAAAGTATACCAAAACATGTTAGATGCTAGTGCTACGTCTCAATTATGAATGATAAAATGTGCACGCCTCATTTCTATAGGACCAATAATTCCTCATGTGTACTCATATTCTATGTATATCTTGTTAATTAATCAACTTTGCCCATTATTTTAAAAAGTTTAGTTGCTTTCACACTACATCATTTTAATAAATAAAGACCATAAAGTGATGTTGAGTGCAAACATTCAAGAATTATTGACCGTGTCTAAATTATTATATTTAAAAGTAAGGTAGACTAAATGCGTCTGCAAATTTGTCAAAAGAACAAAAACACCCATTTAATCTCTTTATTTAAGTCTTATGAGCCTTCCTTTTGTAGGTCATGTAATCAAAAACATAAAATCTTTGGCTAATATTATGTCCCGGTTACCTACTAGCAACCATGTTTTGAATAAAGGCAAGGTAAAAAATTTGGCTTGGCTCCACTAAAGCATGAATTACATTTTGTTTGGTCGGTCCATATCATTTTCATTTTGTTACAAGAAATGATGAGAAAATTTAATATTAGTGGATGTTTTGATAGGGTTTGCAACGTTGCATGTTAGATCTGCCTACTAGATTTTACAGAAATCTGAAAATAAATAAAAACAGGAGAGAATAAACTTGTAAATAGAAGAATAACTAAAAACTAGGGATGCATGTGCTTTAGCCAAAGTGGTAGTGGATAGTCATTGTCAGTGTAGATCCAGAAATATATTTTACGGTAGACACATATATTAACAACATAAATTTTTTAAAAAGAATGAGTATAATTAAAATTTCAGGTGGACACCGTCCGTAAAATAAATAACTAATCAAAAAAATTTGAATTTCATGATGGACATGAAAATTTTCAAAACAAATATCACTAATAGAATAAATAATTAATTGAAAAAAAATCAAATTTTAATAAGTGTACACACTTATGAAGTTGTGGCTCGGCCACTGACCGTTGCTTAAAAGTACGTTTTGAAAGAGAAATGACCAAAGCTAATGGGAGGTGCTAAATATTTGATATCAGTAAAATTGAGATTTGTTTAGGTTAATCTAGATTCTAAAAGATTTAAGACTTCTTTTATAAATAAGGTGAATGATGACATAAAATGTACTAAACATGGAACAAAAACTCTATATACTATACTTACATTCAGTGACAAGACCAGACAGGATTATGTAGGATCCCGATTCTTAATTTATTTATCTACTAGATTTTTTAAATTTTTAAGGAAAAGTATACATATGATAATTAATATTTGAATAATTTTTTATTTTTTCATTCAAATTTCAAAAATGTGGA